GTGATGTTTTCAGTAGACTTAACATTCTCATTTACATGTACATGAACTGATTTGTATTCATAATCAGATCAGTTACTTAAACAAATCTGGAAAGTTATCTGTCAAACTTCAAGGTCATGGTGTCAAAAAATGTAGGTACCAAGAGAAAGTTCTTGTCACATGAAAAACACATGTCAAATATAAAAGCACAAACTCTATACTTTTAAAATTTACGGTCACTGGCCAGTGTCCTTAGCTTCTCACTGAAATAAACATGTAACATCTGTACCGTTACTTACATCAAAACATCTGTATAGTTTGCACAGAGTGACAAGTGTCCTTCTCACAACACCTGTACAGATACATCAATACACCTGTAGAGTTTGGACAGAGTGACCAGTGTCCTCCTCACTGCAGGGTACCACATTCCATGAAGGACAGCCGGAGACATTGGCATGGCACTGGTGAGACTCTTCATCTCTAAAGCAATTAGAGAATTTACCTTTATCAATTTTTCAAAGATTCTTCATTTCTAAAGCAATTATAAAATTTACTTTATTAATTTACAATAATATGAAGAAAATTTTCAATCTTCATATCTAATCTATTTATTTCTACATGTAGATGTGTATATTACATTTTCAGGCGCGCGATCCTCTGCAAAGTGTTTTTTTTTTTTTTTTTTGGCTAAAGGCTTTAGATTTACAATTTTCATGCACAAATTCAGCTGAATTTTAAATTAAATTATAAAAATTTTTCACCAACTTTCCCCCATGTTTTCATTAGGGAAATATAATTTGTTATAGTGTGATTATGCTAACATGCATTGCAGAGTGTGTATTTTCATGTTTTTTTTACAATATATGTCAAATTAAACAATGAATTTTTCTCACCCTGGCTTGGGGTGCATATGCTTTCAGTACTCATTTAGATTAAAGTTTTTGTTTCACTGTAAATCTTGTCAGTCCCCAATGTCCAGTATGGAATGTTTAGTAATAAATTGTTCTAAAACTTTTCTTTTGTTATACAGTATAATAATAATTATATTTAAAAAAATATTAATGTTATTAGAGGTCTTTATGCAGAAAAGTTTTTTTTTAAAATCATGTTATAAGTAAAACATTTGTGCTGGATTCATCCATTTTCAGCAATTTTTTCATAGAATCAAATGTAAAATATACTGTACATGTACTAATTTTAGAATTACAAAACTAAATATTTTAGCCACACACATTTCACACTGTGTATGACCCCTGAGAGACTAGTTTGATTTTTGAGTAACCCTGACTACCTGCTGGTTCTGCCTGATTTTTGCCTGCCTCTGTGAGCTCAGCCACCTCTTGACTGGTGCTGGAGGCATTGGACGCTGACCGGGAGTGACCCTTTAAGAGGAAGAGGAAGGGGTTCGGGTGTGTCCCTTTGTCTCCTCAGCTTTTATGCTCTCAGCAATACACTGAAAAACAGGCACAATAACGCTAATCAAATCAAGAGGCCCATGGGTCACATCGCTCACCTGAGAAACTTTGGCCATGCTGTTCTTTAACAGATTTCCCCCCCTTTGTAATACCAACTGTGACCATGCCCTACCCCCAGGGGTCATGATTTGGACAATTTAGAATCAACATTATTCCAGGATCCTTCCACATAAGTTTCAGCTTTTCTGGCCCATTGGTTCTTGAGAAGAAGATTTAAAAATTTTTTTCCTATATATTTGTATGAATAAATTGGATTCCCTATTGTGGCCCCGCCTACCCCGAGGGGTCATGATTTGAATAACTTAGAATCTACACTTTTCCAGAATGTTTCCACAGAAGTTTCAGCTTTTCTGGCCCAGTGGTTCTTGAGAAGACAATTTTTAATTTTTTTCCCTATATTTCTATGTAAAACTTTGATTCCCTACTGTGGCTCCGCCCTACCCCCGGGGGTCATGATTTGAACAATTTAGAATCTACACTACCCCAGGATGCTTCCACATAAGATTCAGCTTTTCTGGCCTAACGGTTCTTGAGAAGATTTTTTAATGACCCCACCCTATTTTTGTATTTTCTTGATTATCTCCCCTTGGAAGTTTGTACCAAGTTTGGTTAAAATTGGCCCAGTGATTCTTGAGAAGAAGTTGAAAATGTGAAAAGTTATCATATGGACTGATGGACAACCGATGATCAGAAAAGCTCACCTGAGCTTTCAGCTCAGGTGAGCTAAAAAGAATACATTGATTAACTTTTAATTGATAATACAACTTGATCTATGTAAAATGGAGTAATATTAATTAATGCATATATTTTTCTGCTTTTGAACTGACTGGTTGTTACTAATAAGGCCAAAATTAAAAATATGTTTGTTTGCCATTTACCGACCCAGGTTTTTAGGAATGGGTAGGTGGCTAGGAAAAATATGGTTTTTTTCTTGACTTCAAATCAAATTACTATTAAAATTTTAAAAATCAATATGTTCATGTACATATTCTTTGTTATTAGAACTTATACTTCATGGAACAAGATGTACTTGTACATTTGGAAATTTTTTTGTTGAAAATTAAAAAAATGTATAATTGAAAAGTGGAATAAAATGTTTTAAGTCGGGCTAATTTTCGTGGGTCGGTCGGCTAAGGGCAAACAAACACTGCAACACGGGATCTCAATCTGAATTAAGGGCAGATCTCCAGGTCCTGCAGTAGGATTCGAATCCGTGACTCCAAAGCAAACCCGCTACGTCAAATGGTGACTGGCATTAAATAAGATAAAATAAGATAAATGTAAGAATTTATGTAATGGTAATGGATTGTAGAACTCGACACTCTTGTTGATAATTTGAAAAGAGGTTGTGCTATGTGTGGGAATGCACTACAGCTTGTCAACACTATAGCATCTTCCCAAGTCAAGAGTTTCTGATCCGCTCCGCTCCACATAAACCCTTGACGGAATAGGCTAGCTAAGTTTGACGGGGTTTACTGTCACGCCATCTAGTGAGATTACACATTTTGAACTCTACTGACCTTTGTTATTAGCCAATCAGAGTAAACGAATTTAACAGAGATTAAGATAGTATTGGTAGTTGGTAATAAAATCAATATAACTCAACTAAAAAGCTGAAAGAAACCATTAACTGGGCTATTTAATGATAAAGACGTTATCCTTGGGACTAAAACTGGCGTATTTTTCTGTTTATGATTTAGTTTTAGTTTAAATAGAACAATGATTTTGATTGGTTCATGCAAACTTGCAAGAGGCCAATCAGAGAACACATTTCTAGCCCTGTCAAACTTAGCCTATTCGGTCAAGGGTTTATGTGGAGAGGAGCGGATCAGAAACTCTTGACGTGGGAAGATGACACTATAGGTGAAAGGAAATTTTGGACAGGTATTTATTTTTATTAAATATTGTCAATGACTATGCACCTAAAAAAATCGTTTTTAAAGATGCGGCATTCCCCTTCACTTTTAGTTAACTTTTGGTCAATTGCAGGTTCTTCACATATAAAGTGCACACATTCCACTTGTGCCCATGTTAACGACATACCCATGGGCAGTAAGCATAGGGTAAAGCAGATATGAAGCAATATGCTTGGGATGTCAACACAAAGCTGGCTGCAGGTATAAATTAGAAATTTTATCTATAGACTTACAAATAAGCAGATAAAAATAATTTAATACTAATAAAACAGAAGTTAAAATGTAAAAGAATTATTTTATTTTCATTTTATTTCTGGTAATAATCTCTTAGGTATGCTAAATGGTGGTTATGGAATAACTCGTGTAAATGCATTACTGGCTGCATTGAATATCCCGGGGATCACAAATAGGAGTCTTAAAAGCAGAGAAAGAGAGGTGGGGAAACACCTAGAGGAAATGGCAGGGCAGAGTTGTAATGAAGTTCTTCAAGAAGAAATGAAACTGTAATTTTTTTTAATTTATTTTGTTTGTATTGATATATAAATTATGTTTTGAATTAACATGTTATAATATTTGGTAATTTATGTAATCGCACATTTGTTTTATTCATTTTGTAGGATTGATGGAGACATCACTGTGTCTTTTGATGGTGCCTGGCAGAAGAGAGGTACTGGTAGAGGATACAATAGTCTCACTGGTATGCCCTGGTGATAATGTTATTGTTGCATGTTTTGATTCTCCCTCCTCAATAAGGATTGATATTTCTTATAGAGTAACATATTCTAATACATGTACATGTAAAAGTAGTTATATGCTAGTAGTATTAATTATCTTGTTACAGCTAGGTCACGCATCTCTAGTAGGAGAAAAAACTAAAAAGATAGTTTCTCTTCAAAGAGTAAAAGATGCAGAATCTGCTCAGCTGCAACAGCTAAAGAGTTCCACCCAGAAAACACAACTGCCGAAAGAATTGGCAGGGATCGGCAAAAGCAATGGAGCCGGCCATGGCCTGTGAAATCCTGAGTGCAATCAAAGGTGAAGGGTGCAAGTTAGATTTTTTATTGAATGTTTAATTCTTATCAGCAGTAATGTCAAATATGGATGTACAGTTTAGTACCATATACATGTATATTTAAAACTTTGCTATTTTTAACTGAAGTACAAATTTCCAATGTATTTTACAGATAGGAACTTTAGTCATGGACAATGACTCAACAACCATTACTCACGTAAAAGCCACTGTGGATCCAACCATTAATAAAAGAGCTGACAAAAACCATACAAGAAAAGGTTTTACTGGAGCTTTGATTGAGCTTGCCAACATCCATAAAGTTTTGAAAAATCAAAAACTTAGAAGTCACATTGAAAGGTTTGTGTTTCTGAAGTGTAATATTTCAGTACAATATCCCTTGGTCAACTGTAGTCCAAAAAAACTTGTTACACATAATTATAAATGCGATTATTATAAAATAAGTGTCTTTTTCCTTCTGTTTTAGATGTTTTACGTATTGTGTACAGCATTTATATGGTAAGAGAATCAATAATGTGGAAGTCATTACAAAATTAGGAATGAAGATTAGGAATGAAGAATGAAAACATTATAACCAAATCTTTTTTTTTAAGGTGAACACGAATGCTGTGGAACTTGATGTCACAGTAAAAAGACTGACAATAAGCCTCAAAATTTGCCATATGGAAAGCCTCTATCCTGCACCTTACTCCGAGAAGCTTTAGAAGCTTTATTCAAGAAATACTGCTGTAAGGCAGAGGAGCTGGCCATGATGGGATCCACTCAAGTCAATGAGAATTTTAACCATATGGTCTCCACTAAAGCTCCAAAAACATTGTAAGTACTTTGGTTATTTCTTCTTTTTTAGAACAGACATTCTGGATATTAACAATTGAGTCTGAAATGTGAGATTCAAATTGCAAAAAAATGTGTTGTTAGGTTTTATGGAGGTGCAGAGAGTCTACATGCTAGACTCTCAGCTACTGTTTGCCAAAAGAATGTGGGTTATGGATACATATCAGAGGTAGAAAAATGTGTCAAAAGTTTCAAGTTGATCATTTTTGAAATTTGTTTTTCATTACAGTTTGTTGTTATGTGTTATGTTTTCTTTCTTTTTTATGGCAAACCATAAAAACTTACTTGCATTTGTATTTAGTGTTCTTAAAGTATATTTTTTATTTTAATAGTTTTCCACAATAAATGTTATAAATTATAACAAGAGGCCCATGGGCCACATCGCTCACCTGAGCACTGTGGCTATAGGAAAAAGTAGAATTTGGTTTATTATTGAAAAGTTTAAATCTTAAAGTAGTCCCATGACCAATCATGGCTTTGCTATTCTTCAGAAGAAGATTTTAAAATAATGTTCCTATATATTTCTATGTAAAACTTTGGCTGGCCATTTTGCCCCCCCCCCCCCCCCCCCCACGGGTCATGATTTCAACAAACTTGAATCTACACTACCTGAGGATGCCTCCATATATAAATATGATCAATTATATCTTTTCTATTCTGGAGAAGATCTTTTGAAGAATTTTCCTATATATTTCTATGTAAAACTTTGGTTGGCCATTTTGGCCCCGCCCTACCCCCGGGGGTCCTGCTTTGAACAAACTGGAATCTACACTTCCTGAGGATGCTTCCATATAAATATGATCAATTATGGCTTTGCAATTTTTGAGAAGAAGATTGTTTAAAAAATTCCTATTTTTTTCTATGTAAAACTTTGGTCGGCCATTGTGGCCCCGCCCTACCCCCGGGGGTCATGATTTGACCAAACTTGAATCTACACTACCTGAGGATGCTTCCATATAAGTTTCATCTTTCCTGGCACAGTGGTTCTTGAGAAGAAGATTTTTAAAGAATTTTCCTATATATTTCTATGTAAAACTTTGGTCAGCCATTGTGGCCCCCCCCTACCAGGGGGGTCATGATTTGAACAAACTTGAATCTACACTACCTGAAGATGCTTCCATATAAGTTTCATCTTTCCTGGCACAGTGGTTCTTGAGAAGAAGATTTTTAAAGAATTTTCCTATATATTTCTGTGTAAAACTTTGGTCAGCCATTGTGGCCCCGCCCTACCCCCGGGGGTCATGATTTGAACAATCTTGAATCTACACAACCTGAGGATGCTTCCATATAAGTTTCATCTTTCCTGGCACAGTGGTTCTTGAGAAGAAGATTTTTAAAACATGCCACAAAATTTTTATTAATTCCCAATTATCTCCCCTTGAATGAGGGCGTGGCCCTTCATTTGAAGAAACTTGAATCTCCTTCACCCAAGAATGCTTTGTGGCAAGTTTGGTTGAAATTGGCTCAGCGGTTCTTGAGAAGAAGTCGAAAATGTGTAAAGTTTACAGACAGACAGGCAGACAGACGGACGGACAGACGGACTACAGACAAAATGTGATCAGAAAAGCTCACTTGAGCCTTCAGCTCAGGTGAGCTAAAAACAAATAGTCTTTAGTAAAGATGTTTACAATCATGTTTATCTGCATAAACATGTACATAAAGTACCTAGAAGATGGATTTACTAAGAAATTCACATTCAAACTTTATCCCAATTCTTATTAACCAATTTACCATTTTATTTGAATATGGAACAATCACAAAATGAAAATATTTACTAAAACATAAATTATATTTTACAGCTGAACAAGAAAATGGCATTGTCGCCTGGCAATTTCAGAATGAAGCATACCATCAGACTTGCCAACAAGCTCAAACGGAAGCGTCTCATGCAGAGTTTACTGGCCACCAAGAGACGTTGATTGGAATTAAAAGCCACCAGGTTGTCTAAAGAAGCAGCGAGGAATGTTCTAGAAGGTAGAGTTTCAGTTATTAAAATAGAACTGAATCAATGTAATGTTTTACTTTAATTTATTGTGTATTGTTCACACATTTAGAGAAGCCATTGCTGTTAAAATTGGAATTTCAGTATTATTTACTTGAATTCTGTTTGTCACAGGACAATCATATAAGTCAGATATTGGTCTTGAGGAGGATGTTGATCTTGACAACATTGATCCAGAGCCCCTTATGATTTCTCCAGAGAGCAGCTGCTTCATGTATTTTGATTTAGAAACTACCGGACTTAGTAAGATTTTTTTTTCAACTTTACCTTTTTAACTTTACTAACAAATATAAATACTTCAATTTTCAGATTTGGTATCAAATATAATTTTGCTTTCAGGTAGAACTTCTGACATCATACAGATTGCTGCAGTTTGTGAAGATAGGTCATTCAATGTTTATCTGAACCGCCAGTGTACAAATCTTTAAGGAAGCATCGACTACAACAGGTCTCAGATATGACATGGAACAGCTCACTTTTCATGGAAAAACCTGTGCCTTCAATGAGTCAAGTCGATGGTTTGACCCAGTTTGTAGACTTTGTTAGAGATTGTGAATCGAAACCAGTCATTGTTTGGACACAATATTCAAAACTTTGATCTTCCAATTCTCCAGTATCATTTGCAGTGACATGATTTACTTAAACAATTTGTTGAAAATGTTTTAGGTTTTTTAGATACATATAAACTTGCAAAGAAAGTTTTCTATTAGAAAACAATGGGGAATTTTAAGCAAGAAACCTTAGTCAGATTGTGTCTTGGGAAAAGTTTCGATGCACACAATGCTCTGTCTGATTTTTGTAGTTTACGCGAACTGTACGAGTCAAATTCAGCATTCAAATGTGAATGTTCAGATATAATTACCATGAATTATTACAGTGTAAAGTCCTCATTAGTTCCATTGGTACATAGAGAATAATACATACCCTTTTCCATATCACATCCTGTATCAGCCCGAGACACCAATATCAGCCAGAGGGCCGAAGGCCCGAGGGCTGATATTGGTCGAGGGCTGATACAGGATGTGATGTGGAAAAGGGTATGTTTTATTATATTTATTACATACTTAGTAATAAAATACAGTTGAGAAGAAAATAAGTAAATAATCATGCATGGACTTCTTACATACATGTACATAGTCTAATGTCTCATAAGATTTGGGTTTGTTTCTATTTCTATTTCAATGCACTTGATCCGTAATTTGAAAATATTCTATAGTATTACATGTATTTGTAAATTAAGATTAACCTTATTTTCAAAAAGTTAAAATTAAGAGAATATGAACCCACCAAAAATTGTGTATGAGTACAAGTACTGTTATTGTGGTTTAATTTACTAAGGGTGTGATATTGACGTCACAATAGCCGTATCAACCCTGCAGGGCTGATATGGATTTGCGGGGCTGATATCCGTATCAGCCCTGCAAATCCATATCAGCCCTGCAGGGCTGATACGGCTATTGTGACGTCAGCCATATCGCATATGCAAAAAACCTGTATTTATTACTAAGTGTGTAATAAAAGGCAATATAATATCTACACTGATCTCTAACAGGCTTACAGCCAACAATATATAAAGCCTAAACAAGCTAAAACTTATACTTTAGCGTGACCCCCATAGTGGCATTCAGACTGTCTTTAGTGAGGTTGTATCTGGTTCAAAGACACCAAGAATAACAAACTCTCAGAAAACCATTGACAAAGTTGTTGAGTATTTGAACTCTTGTTAAGTTCGAAATAAGAACATGTATTTTCATACAACAAAATTATATGTTTATGAGCTACACTTGCTAGAATCTACATATATTTTTTGTTACACTATATCAATTCTTTTAATATGTATGAGATTATAAATTGTAAAAAGAATGTGTACTTGTATGGAAAAAAAATGTAAAACAAGGAAGGGGTTGCCCCCCCCCCCTTTCAACTATATGTGTTCTAAGTGTTTACAGGGACCAAAATTTCAGTATTTTTTAACATTCCATTTGTATTTCATTCTAAGAATGTATATATTTGTTACATTTTAATATTTTTCAAAGTTTGTAAAATATAACAGTAAAATATGCTATCACCGAAATGGGGGGTAGGGGTATTCAAGATATGATTTAATAAAATATCTCTGGTCAACCATGATAAAATATGTGTTTTTGGTAATCTTAGATATTATTCTACATATTTTTAAAGAAAAAATGGCATGTAAACAATACAAATTTTGGAAGTTTTCAAAATAACGATATTATGTGGGTTTTTTTTCTGATGGATGTGAGCAATATAAATGTTAAATGTGCATGTTTTCAATTGAATATCTCAAACAATTCTTTTTGTAATTGATTATCTATTAGATTGGATGGATTATAGCACAACACATTGTGCTTTGGTGCATATTTGAATAAAATATGAAATGTTTTATCCTTGTGTTAAAAATTGGCGTTTGAAGTTTGGGATATATGTGCTCTCTAGCACGTAGTTTGAAAATAATCCTGCAAAGGTATGTGTATTATGGGTTTTTTTGTTGGTTAAAGAGTTGTTTCAGTTATTATAGAGAAAAAGTAAACTGTTTGACAGTTATTTCTAATAGTATTTACCTACCTTAATTAAAACCACAATAAATATATATATAGAGGAAATTCGCGTCACAACTTCATTTGAAGCATACTGGTCCAGTGGCCAGACCATAATTTAAACTTATTCAAGTGTCTTGCATTACACTTATCGGCAATAAAAACAATAATTTTTCTTATTTTGTTAAAATACTGTCTTACTTACAATAGATCGGTTTTGATTGCGAGTTTACTAAGACCTATAATAATTTGGTGCTATTCCACCTAAAATTAGAAAATAAGAAATAAGTATTAAAACTAGAGCCGAGCTCGTTGCAAAGCAATGAGTAGGTCTTGCGTTGGAGCTGTGGACAGGAAGTAACCTTGGGTCAAGGTCACTGCACTTTTTTATTTGAACAACCTTTCTTCTCGAGATGAGCCTCCATTGAATCTTAAGAATGAAAATCAGCAAGCATCGAGCATTCAGTTAAAAGATGTGGAAAGTGGCATAGAAACAGATTAGGTTAAAACTTATATATAAATTTTCAGAACAAAGGGTATGATAGAAAAAGGCAAGCAAAAAATAATTTTTCGCATTGTTGCTATGGAAACCACACACCTTTCAGAAAGCGTGTTTTGTACTTTATTATGGCACTTGAATTTATGGTTAAACAAATACTTTTTTTATTACTTGTCATTAAAAAAAAAGCTTTTTAAATTATTATTTTATTTATATACTCTATTTTAACAATTGTTGATTATTGAGATTCTCTTTACCTATTGATAAATATAACTAGTTTTTGGAGGTTTATTTTGCTTGATATATTTATTAAACAGTATTTGTTCTAGACGAATAAAAAAAAAATCAGCAGGCAACTAAAGCATTTATATATGATGACTGATTTAAATTCATAATTTTCTGTCACTTTTGCTTCAAATTACCTCCCTTTGATATATCTCTTACATAGGAGGAATTAACGGTAGTTTGCTTACATTTCATTTCTGTAAACAATTAACAATGTGCAGAAGACTAGCAGAAAATTACAAATTTGGAGCAGTCTGAGCCTCAGTTTTGGCGTTTTCATGGGTCTTAATTACGGTGAGTAATTGAAATTTTTACAATTTACCATTACAACAGTTACTGAAGAATGTATAGCAGTAAAATATGTAACACTTGCATTTTGGCAAGTGTTTTTGCACATTTTAATTAATTCTGATTGATTATATATGTTAGCATTATTGTAGTATTTTATAACTAAAAGGAAAAGATTATGCATGGCCTGAGGAACCAGGAGAAGGGGGGTATGCCCCCCTCAATTAGATTGCCGATATTAAACTATAATATGAGCAAATGAAATTAAATCCCCCAACTTAGATTGTTTCTGCGGGCCTAATGTGAAAAAGTTGGTCATGATCAGTCACATACCTGTATCCCAAATTATAAAGTTTAATTTGAATTTAGTTTAATTTTAATTTCTTGTATTCACGGTATGTATGTAACCAAAGTCACTCACCAGCTATAGATGATTAGAATTGATAGTCGGGTAAATAAAAATTTTGTATATAATAGTAGATATCTTTATTTAACATTTAAGATGATACCTGCATTTTACATGAAAAATTATGAATTTATGAAAACCAACACTATTATGAAATATTTGTAAAATGGAATGACCTATGTTATGGCGTCCGTAAAAAAAAAAATGAAAAAGGGTCAGGGAGTTAACTCTGTACTACATATATTTTAATTTAGGAAAGGGGATTATCTTGGAAGTATTGTGATACAGACAACTGTATTATGTAGTGGACTAGTGGTAACTGAATTGTATATATACCACAGCAAAATAATGAATAAAAAAAAAAAAAACTTGCTGCTGATGTCATCCAGTGTTTACTTATAAAAGAAAATTCATATTCAGCTAACATTCTCTCCTGTACCACTGAACTAATTTAAGTCAACTAGGTTCAAATAATAAGCATCACTAGATTTAAAGCACGTAAATTTATAAAATGAATATCTATACTCCATTTTTTCTTGGGGGTGGGGGTGGGGGGGGGAGGTGAGGTATTGGAAAGAAATGAAAAACATTAGTTTTGACAAAACCTAGAACCAGTTGACCTTTTTATGCGCCCGGATCGATAGATCCAGGGGGTATATTGTGTTTGTCCTGTCTGTTTGTCTGTTTATCTGTTTGTCTGTTGTCAACTTTAACCTTCACCATAACTTTTGAACCATAAGAGATAGAGACTTCATATTTGGTATGCATACTCCACTAATAAAGTTCATTTAAATGACAGCAAGGTCAATGAGCATCTGACATTGACTGTGACCTATATGCTAAAGATAGGTTTTTCAAACTTTGTTGCCGCCGGGCGCATAGTGTTTCGCAAACACATCTTGTTATTGCAAGGTTTTGAATTTAAAGAATATTTAAAATCAATACGGTCTCAACTTCGTGTTGTAAATTTCTGTTTTTAGAATAAAATTCGGCACTTTGAAGCCAAAGTTGGAAAGAAGCAGAAACAAAATTGGATGAGCTGATATAGAATTAGACTGGAAAAACATGTAAATAATACATTTAGTAAAAACGTTAACTTTTTAAAATAAAATGATAAACCATTGAGATTTCTTGGAATTTAATTGATTTCGCGAAAGCGAGGGGACATTTAAAAATCTCATTCGTCTGTCCGTCAGTCTGTCTGTCTGTCAGTCCGTCATAAAAACTTTAACCTTGCCCATAACTTTTGATTTAGTGGAGCTATGACTTTCATATTTCACATGTGTATTTCTTGTGACAAGACTTTTCTTTGGGTACCACCAAATTTGACCTTTTGACCTTGACCTTGGAATTTGACCCACTTTTACACAAAAATTCGAAACTTTTATTTTGGCTGTA